GGCCGAAACGGTTTCGAGTTCCCGCTTCGTACTCCCGCCAACCTGATTCCGTGTCCTTACGTCTCGAGAATCGCCAATGAACCTTCAACCTGGCCCATCACAGTCTATTGTGGAACTTCCAAGACTTCATCGAACAACCATCTCCACATCTCCTCTCGTCTTACGTTACACGTTTTACGTCTTCTCTCCCTTGCACCTTCGTCGTTCCTTACCATCCGCATTCCTCACGAAATCCTTCAGAATAATGGAGTCGCTGACGGAAGTACGAATCGTCCCCGCTGAACTCACGACCCTGCATTTTTATATTTCGATGCAGAATGATAGAAAAAAACACAAGAGAACGATTTGCGTATTTCCATTTTTCTTTACGGCAGAGCCGACATTTTTATTGGAAAATTTTTGCATCTCACAAATTTCATCGAATATCACAGATATATCACGAGACTTAAAATATAAAATGTTCAGAATATACATTTTTGACTTTAAAAACAATGACAGTTTTGCAAAACAATAGTATCAATATTTTTAATGCACACTGTTTTTTAAATAAAAGTACGAAGTTTTTACGTCATATGCATACATATATTTCTTATTTTCGACATTTTATCTGCGATATTCCGTCTAGATATTTTCTTCTTATTCTGTAGTACGCTCGCCTCGTAAAGTTCGCTAGTTCAAGCATGAAATGTCAAATCCTTTTTACGTGAGATCCGTCAAAACCAGGCGATGTGGCCTTGTATTTTTATAACCTCTGAAAGTGACAGACCAGCAGTATTCTGAGGATCTGCAAGACCTGTACGATGGAAAACTTCAAGCACCTTGTGCTTATCTTCCCTACAAATATCTATATTGAATGCCGAACGTGATCCTTAAATATTTTTTAACTTAAAAATATAAAAAAAAAATTGAGCGGTATAAAATATAAAATTTGTTTTTCTATTAAATGTCATTGTAATGTTATTAAATGTCATCGTATATTTATGAATATATCCAGCAGAAGATCGGAGGTTTAAATCTAATATTTTTCTTATTTAAAATCAGAAAGGAGACATTTTAAAATATATTTTAAAATATATATATTTTAAAGAACACTTTATTAACACAAAAATTATTGTTTACGTGATAACCTCTTTGCTCCCCGAAAAACATTTTCGATATGCATTCATACCTTACAAAATTTATCTTTGCATTAAATTGTATAAAAGATGCAATATGATATCATTATCCTACAGATTTATCAGCATAAATAATGTAATAAATACAGCGTAATATATGCATATATTATTGTTTTTTCTGATATTTTGATTCTCTTCTATTTATATTGATTATCATTATTTTTAATACAAATTTTAAAAAGGCAATCTGTGCTTCGAATACTTTAAACATGTGATCAACCGTCAATTATTTCAGTCACGTATTCTAAAGCAGAGTGATTATTATTACCAGTTCATTTCCCTCACGTATCTTGAATATTATTAAGAGATCAATAATTTTTCTCACGTATTTTCAAATTTCATTACGCAGACTTGCTCCTCTCTAATTTCACAATCACGTTCTAAATGGTTTTGCTTCTAAACACACGAACTCTGGCGAAATTCTTCACAGAATCTGAGCGTAATACTACGGTAATTACGAGGAAGTCCGAAGAATACGCAAGAAGCGTGAGTGGTGCATTCGTGAAAATTATACATGGTCGCTATCATATTTTGTGGAGATCTCTCCGCGAATATCCTACCGCAATGGTGCATTCTTTCGTACGTTTTCCCTTGTCATAATGAGAATTTTATGACCAACCCGGTCCTTTATAACGTGTCCAGTCGAGCACGTATGTTTTACACGATAACTAAACCATGGCGATGCAATGGAGGGTCGCAAAAGTGGGAATTTGCTCCCAGACGCAGCGAAAGTCTTCATGAACTTTTCATATAACTCGGCGATCGTCGAAGTTCCTCGGTATGTCGTCTTTCCGCACGAACGACTGACCGGTCCCGATGGGACGAGCAAATCTTCTGAAAACAAACCTCTTCATGATTCTTGACGTAGTTGATGAAAATCCGTCTTGTACAACATCATTTTGAAAGAAGGTCGCTAACTAATGATAGTCAATGAATTTGGAAGGACATCGTTGTTGTAAAATATAACTATACGCGAAAAAAATGCATTGTTACATCCCATTTAATTTTATTAAGGACAGTCATGCATAACAAAAAAAAAATGATATACAAGTTACATGTCAATAAAAGAATATATTTGCGAATGAAATCATCTGCAGGTTTAAAATCGTGATTTTTTATTAAAATATCTTTATAACTAAACAGATATATTCATTTTTTTCTCTTCAATTATTTATTTTATAAAACATTTTTAAAGGGCTTTATTTTAATATACAGTGTGTATTTCAATATTTTCTGTTCAAACATTCTCGACAATACGTTATAGCTACAGTTATTAAAACTATTTAATTATTTTAGAAAAATATCAAATGCGAATTTGTTTTCTGTTTTTTTATCATTTGATTTTCATTATTTGTTTTTGCTTTTGTGAAAAAATAAAAATTGAAAGTACTGAAGACTGTTTGGATTCAATTGAATTGCAAATTTAACTGTATCTAATTGAATTTGAAATTAATATATTTACACACACACACACACACACAAAATATTAGCGTCTTATCTTTATTATTTTTTATTATTATTATAGCAAAATAGTATTTGGAAATTTAAATAGAATTAAAGCATTAATAAAAATTTATTTAGTTTTGTATGTTACAGTACACTGATCGATCTTTTCTTTTTTGCTTTTTTCATTATGAAATTTTTATTTAAAAAGAATCTTGAGATTTTTAAGAGATATAACTTCCTTTAAAATGTATTGTATATAATAGTAATAAATTTGGAAGAATCAACTATATAACTTTTTGTAAGAAACTTCTTCTTAAAAGCACTTGCTATATTTTCTTCATTCTTTGTCGAAATATAATTGCAACTCCGCAAGTAAAGTTGTCCCTCTTACTTTTTTGGAATATTATTAAAAGCGTCATCAAGTATCTTTTTTACAAAAAACGCATTTATATTCTAAAGCGTTATTTCTCAAAGTACTTCCAAATCGAATCTTTCAGTTGCCATCGCTCGCTCGCACCTTCAATATTCATTCGGCCGTCCTCTTGAAATGCGCATGTTTAAGACAGCCAGCGATCCAATTATTTCGATCGTCTGTCACCACGCGATCCACTCGAAGCGAGGAACGAAAAAGGAAGAGGCAAGTAATCGTTGACAGCTTCCTTTCGTGCGCCAACTCAGCGCAATATTTCGCACTGTCGAGGCATATCGACGTTTCGAGCACGAATCGTAAGTGGTCGTCATTAGAGTGTATAAAAATCAATATGATAATTTATCTTCCATAGGAATAGACACGAACGTTTCTTCTGTAATCCTTAGAGAAATTATTGTCAAGTACCGCCACGTTTAGTTCGGCTTGTAATTTTTTCTCATCTCGCAGAATCCTTATATATATATAAGTGGTGCAACCAATTATCTTGGTAAGAGCTTTTCCATGATTTGTACGTCAGTGATATTTAGTTCTTTATTTTTCTTAGTGATTTTCTATCTTTATTTTTATTCTTTTTTATTAACGATTTTTATTATTATTATTATTGTAGGATTATCGATTGGATTTAAAAAAACGGGGTGTTTTTTCTCGATTTATGCTTAATCAATTGATTCAAATGTAACCTATATTGAAAATGTTTCAAAATGCTTGAAACTAAAAATACTGGATATTTAGCATATTAGGATCATGATATAATGGTAACTAAACAAATAATTCCATAAGTAATTACTAAAATTCATCACCTAATAGCGAAGAAATTAAAAGAGGCCATTACATCTATACTGGTCATAATCACTACCTTCTCTCTACGAATTCGCGATTAGTTGAGTATCAAACAAGTGTTATCAAGTCATTCTAGAAAGTATAACAAATACGAACATTTTAAAGTTTAATCAAACAGAAGGTAAATTTCATTTCCTACATCATCATTCTTTTCAAATACAAAAATATAAGATTATGGAGCACATTTATTATATAAATTTTATTATACGTAAACATGCAAAACATTTTTCAATGCTCGTCGTTGAAAGCCAGGATAATACTATGCCGTTAAGTTCAAAACCGCGATGCGGATCGTAGTGAGAAATTGCGTCGCATTGCGCTCATTTCCGCACATCATGTCTCGCTCTCTAGAAACGTGGTCTTCCTCGGTATTCCTTAAACACAACGTAAGTTAAGTCAGGCAATGCCAATTCCCTAGTTAGTAATCTGTAAATGGTACAATTCTCTCACATTGTAGAATCGTAAACGACGTACCATCCTTCCACTTTGATGGATGTTCGTATACTCTGTTACAACGCCTTGAAACGTAACTCGCGATAACGCATTCTCTTTACGGCTTCTCGCCATGTCAATTTTAATAAAAGGTTCTGCTTTCTCTCTCTTTCTTTCTCTTCCGGCGAAATTACGAAGAGCAGTAAAATGCTCGAAATGCTATTTTAATTAAACCCGCCATTTCAAACGACTCCCATGAAAGTTCGTTCTTGGTATACACAGAGTGTTCATAATTTAAACTGCAACGAGTCACACCACAAACCGCAAGAAATATTCAACTTATTATTTTCAATTCAAACTGTAACACTCACCAATTTCATTACCTATTTAAATTTTTCATTATCACGCCTTGCACAAAGTACTAATTTATTAATAATTATAGTTATTCTTTTTTAATCATTATGCAAAATTGGAAAAAAATTACGTTTGAAAATTTTGCAGAACAATTGTTTATGATTAAATTGAAACAAATTATAATGAAAAGTCGATGAGATATCTTGATAATATCACAATAAATATAAGTTATATAATCGATAAGTTATATAATATTTATAAAATAGATCTTTATAAATGTTATATTATATTATTACGCAAAAATAATTTTCTTATCACTGTTTTCTTTAGACACAACTTGATATGTGACGACCGCAAAGTTACATTCGGTGGTCACAGTATTGATACTTCAGTGAAACATGCACGCTTAACTTCCAGCCAGTTATTCATAGTGTTTCCCAAGATAGTCATCCGATGTTGTCCCCCGGGATACAAAATCTGCTTACATGAGAACATTGGTCTTACTCGAGTTGCTCAACACGGCTTCAATTAAACTCGGTTTCTTACTCACTCCTAGATTAATTACTGCTACCACTTGAATGTACAAGAATACAAAGTACATTTTCTTTTTTTTTCTTCCTTTCTCTTTTCTGAAAGAACAATGGTACCGAATTTCTATTTTATTTAAGTAACACGTATCCCATATCTGTACTGTCATGTATAAAATTTTTTACTTCAAATTAAATTAATGATTGATATTAATTAATTGAATCAACGATGCAAATAAAACTAATAGATTATGTGTGATTTTATTTTTTATATTATTAGAAGCATTTAAGCGAATAAATGTAAACTTTGTGTTACCTAATATATACGTTAACATGATATAATCAATATCGGCTTAGACGTCAATACACTCAAGTAAACTCGACCGCATCAATCAGCAGATCGTTTGCATGGGTGAAATTATCTCGACTTAAAAACCGCCCGTCTCCAATACGCGTCGGAATCTCAAGAGTCAAAGTTCCAGCGGGTAACTTGCAAGAGAACAGAGCCTGTGTCTCCCCGGAAGACCTGCAAGTCAGATACCTTGATTACTTAGGCGCTGGAGAGTATTGATTTCGTCGGATAGCGCGATTCACGGGTTTCCGTGTCATTAAGCGACCGACCTGATAATTCCTGCGGAGATTGTGAAACAAATGCTTCGCTCATGTTGACATCGATAATCTTCATAAATTAATTTTTTATATCTTGTGCTATTGGATCATATATCATGTAATTGAGATAAATACATATCTACTTCGGGTTTTAGGATTAATGAAGCTTCGGGAGCTGGTGAAGTCACCGAAAATCCGTGGTATAGAAGTCAGTCTCCGGCAGGCAGACCCCAACTCGTATAGGCAGGTTCTTTCTGAAATGAAGAGCAAAGAATTTCGAAATATCATCGTGGACACAAAACCCGAGCACATGCATCATTTTCTACGAATGGTAAATCACTCTGCGTATATATTACATTAACACATACCTTCTAAAAAAAATACGAATGTGTGGATTTTATATTTTGCGATGTTTATAGAATTTTTACCGTGTAAATGTGTTGATATAAACCAACATGATTTAATTTAGTTTCATGAGTATGAATTTAATATTATGGTTTAAAACTAATAGCATTAAATCTACATTGTGTTATTGTTTATATGTATTAACATCAACACGGTGAGAATTATATTTAACATTCATGATATTAAATCCACATCTAAATTTTTTATACGTATTATGTACGTATATAAATTATTTTTTAATTATTTTACTATTATCATATTGATTTAAAGAAAATCTGCTAGTTAATTATAAAAATATTTGGATATTAAAAAATTGGGAAAGGATGTTTAAATAAATTTTTGTTGAAAAAAAATTGATTCTAAATTAAAAATTCATACGTAAAGAAATATTTCAAAGATAAAAATAATCGTAAATTTGGGCATGTTCCGATAAAAAATAGATTTATATTTTACATATAATATTTTCTATCGCAAAAGTGGTCTTGACCGTATAGTTTCACATACATTGCAGATCCTGCAGCTGCAGATGAATGATTACAAGTACCACTACCTCTTCACGACTTTCGTAAGTACCCTAGGGATATTGAAACGCACATTCAAGATCCACTTGGTCTGCGACTCGATTCGCTCGCTCGCTTTTCCACAGGATATCGAAACCTTCGATCTCGAGGACTTCAAGTACAATTTTGTCAATATCACTGCCTTTCGTTTGGTCGACGCGGACGACGTCGTATCCGTACGTAGTATCCTGAGGGACATGGAACGCTATCAGCCATCGGGAAACACGATTCTCAACAAATCGAGAATCATCCAGGTAAGCACACATGAATCTTCTGTTTATAGAAACTCGTGCAGTACACATATAAAGAAAGATATGACGCTTGCGAGTTTCGACTTTATAATTAAAATTTGTAGGATGTAAAATTTGTGACACGAGGGGATTTGTGCAACATCGATTTTATACATGAAAAAAACGTTTTGCTGAAATATCTAAAAATTTAATTAGATGTAGATTTGAAAATAATTTTATTGAACTATATCAAAATACTTATGTAAAATTCCTAAATTGGTTGCTAAAATATTAAAATTTTTGGCTGTCATCAATGTTTAAGCGTTCTACATAATTTTTTTATGATTTAACAAAATTATTTTCAGATAATGTATTTAGCTAAATTTTTAACTAAATTTCAACAAAATCATTCTTTCCATATAGTTTAATACTTCTTCGATATATTTATAAATACAATTTCGCATTTCGTCTGTAGAAAGTTTTTCATTAATAAAAGAAAAAAATTGTGTACGCCAGAAAATTGGTAGAGGAAAGGCTTCTATTATGAAATACCGAATTCATTTTGGGTAAATGCTAGAAGTCTATGGACAGAATTTAAAAAAATAATAGGTCATTATGAAGCGAATTTAATAAGCACTAAGATAATATTATATATTATAAAATTTAATTCAAATTTCTTTTTTTTTTTTTTTGAAATTAAAGAAATGTAAAAAGTGAGCAAATCGCAAAATCAAAAAATTGTGCTCCTAATATGAGATGCCTTGAAAAATCGATAAAACGCAAAGTATACCAGTATTGCAACTAACTTTATTTAATGTTTCTTAAATATAAACAAACACAGTCAGAATGCGCGAAAAATGAGTATGCAATACATTATATCCAGAACTCGTCTTCAGATAATTGAGCAAATCAAGCATCGCAGAAATAGGCACTCGACGTTTATTCTGATTGTCCTTTTTATGTATAATATTAGGTGTTGGAATTAATTCGTAGCGTTTTTTAATGAAAGAATGTTATTTATTTCACATGAGCATTAAAAAATACATTAATGAAAGTACTTCCCATCACTTGTAAAACGCTACGAATTAATTCCAACACCTAATACAATAACATTTATACTTTAGCAACAATTTTCACTATGACATGGGAGCATGGATTATTTCATATTAGAAATACTTTGAATATCTCATATTACGATTTCCACGCTTTACGATTTTGCGATCAAATCTAACTTCTGTAATTAAACAATTTAACACATTCCATATTTTTCTATTAGTACGACCTTACTCTATCACTACATGAAGAATTTATTGCCAAATATTTATTTATTAAATGATAAACAATGTTTAAAGGCTCATCTCAATGAAACTTAAAGATGTCCAAATTCTAAAATCTTTTTTTACGATGACTAGGCATGATCTAATAATGAATTTTGTATTAAACAGTTTTCAATTCAAGAGCAATAAATTCATGGTGGAACCAATAGATAGCGCCTATTAGTTTAGCAGAAACGCCGCTATCTCATATTAGACGTCTATTTCATAATAGGGGACATTCTTCTATATTTATGGCAAAATTTTACGATTAGTTTCCGTATCACATTCATAAAACGTAACAGGTATATACGGATATTATTATACTTTCATATCATAATAATATTTTATCGGCCATAATTTTGATATGGTAGGTTACATTGCACCTTTGAAAGATTGGTAAGATCTCAATGAAAGATGTAAAACAATTTATCGTCACGTGGCATATACGATAGTGCACCTACAGCTTCGATGCCTGAGCGTCAACATCACTGAATGCTTTATGGAGCAATAAAATCGACTAAAAGCTATTCGAAACAACTTGTGTGTTGCCACGTCGAGTAATACCACATATGTGAGTAACAACAGCCATTGTTACCAAAGTAACAAGCATTGCTTTTCGAGGCAACAATAAAGTTGTCGAAAAATATTAAGCGGAAAAATTTTTCTCTTCTATTATACGTAACTTGTGCTACGATGTTAGCATGAATGTTAAAATATATCTTCAATCACACACAGAAGAAATAGCAATCAATCAAAAATGAAAGAAATAATGAAACAAACGAACTGCAGAATTATTTTTATTTTATTACTAGCTGTGATTTGAAATATGTATAATATTCATAAAGAAGAACGCACGCATGTATATGTATTCCATCATAAAATCTACGTAAAATACTTAGATATTGTGATATTGGGAAATGGAAATTCTATTTGACTTCATACTTTTGTGCATATATTTCTCTAGACAATTCGACGGTTATATTAAATTATAGTATTTCTCGTAATACATATGGAAAAAGAAACTTTATTTGCATTTAAATTATATAACATTCCAAATTGCATAGTTATAAATTCCACCAACGGCATATGCGTTTAGATAACATATACGTGCACATCATTCGGTCAAACTTCTTCATTAACAATTTATATTCCATTAATTCTCAATTTACAAAACATTATTCGCCGTAATCAAAAACGTATCAGTATGAAACAATGAGATTTCTATCTATTTTCTAGATAATTATTCATTATCGTAACAAAGAGGAAATTATTTTTTTAATTATTTATTTTTATTATTTATAACATCAGAACAATGAATCTACATGAGAAATAGGAAACTCGAGTGAGAAAACTCGCTACTCTTTCACCTGATGATGTGTAACAGAATTATCACACATCCGCTATGCATGTAAAAATGCATGCGGCCGCAGTTGCAGCGTGTTCACGACGCGTGAAGTTTAACGCTTTTTTTCCAATTTAAATGCAGATCAGAATGTCGTCGCGACGACGACGACGACGACGACGACGATGACGACGACGAAGACGAAGACTTCGTGAAACTCCACCGTTACCGCGCCGCTACGATGGCCGCCCGTAATCGCGTTTCGTATCACGCACATGCGTGCAGGCGTGAATGCGCTGAATAGCGTGCCAATGAAGCACCGTGCGTACTCACGAAGTCGCACAGCGCATGTATTTAAATCGAGCTTTCGCGATTCATTGAGTTGAGCATCTTTTAATTTTTCCGTATTAATTTTTTTATTAATTTCATTGTATTTATTTAATCGGGAATAATCACTTGGGATATTTTTACCCTCCGGCGGCGAGAAATTGTGAATTATTGTAAAATGAATATTATTTTATTTCTTCACATATTTTTCTTTTTCTTTTTTGATAATTATTCTTTAAGAATCTTTAAATATGCCATTCCATCGAAAAGCCGCAATAAAAGTGTTATATTAATAAAAAAATTTGTATTTTTTAGAAATACTCAATAAGCTATTTAACGTGCTTATTTAATTAATTTGCTCAGTTTCTACTTACTCTTGTTTTAAATTATGATTAAATTCATATCCATAATGTTTTTAAATACTAGTAAACTGGAAAACAACTGATAATATAATATATATTAATAATATTACGATTTTGATTGGGATACAAACAGCTTTTATAATCGTTTACGTAAAAAAAAAACAAACAGGTGATTACTGTCAGGTTGTCTTTAGATTTTATAAAATCTACGTCATATTGACGCTATTTTCAATCCTTAATTTGTTACTTTTGCAAGTTTAGAAGATTCTTGTA